TCAATATAGCAAATAAATTCAATATAGCAAATATAGAGCAGCAATTCTACTCACCTTTGAGTTGTACTTGCTGCCTCTGCCTAAGGTTGCCTGGGTAGAAAAAGTGAGACACCAGTTCCCACTTGTCATCCAGGTAGATGATACACCATAAATCTTCTAGGTGTCAGTGTGGCATTAGAATGACATCTTGGTTTAAACTTGACATCACCACAAATATAGATACCCTGTGACTCCCATCTTCACTCTTGGTTTTCAGATATTATCTTTTTTATTTTTAAGCTTTTAGATCTCTCTTTGTAACTTTGTTTATCAAAGTGTCACCATAAATTTGACTGTTTCCAAGAAAGAGATTTTACTATCCTATTTCCAATCTTGTATTTATTTTTATAATGTTATTTTTCTATTTAAATGACAATAAATTGAATTACTGGAGAAAGTTTTTTTTAATATAAATTATTGTTAACATTTCCAAATAGTATTATTTCATCTAAACCAGTCATATTTAAACATTAGTCTTTTCAGAAAAAAATAAAAACTTATAAACATCCTCTGGTATATTTTTCAAATGGATTTATTAATTTGATTTGGAAATATTTACTTTTAAACTTTCATTTGAAAAATTATGAAATATACAAACTCAAAATGATTGCATAAATCCAGGCACAGGTAATCATGCCTGTAATCCTAGCTACTCAGGAGGCTGATATCTGAGGATCGAGGTTCAAAGCCAGCTGGGGCAGAAAAGTCTGTGAGATTCTTATTTCTAATAAACTACTCAGAAAAAGCTTGAGATAGCATATTGGCTCAAGTGGCAAACTGATAGCCTTGGATACAAAGAAACAAGGACAGTGCCCATGCTCTGAGTTCTAGTTCTAAGATGGGCAGGAAGAAAAGGCACAATAAATTCCTGATGCTCAGTTTCTACAATTATTAAATCATTAAGTCATCATCCTATGAGGTGTGATTATTGATTTTTTCTTTTGGACTGTTTGATTTTTTTTCAAATTTCATAGCCAAATAATAAATACTATGTATAATATTTCTGTGGCTATCTTTCAACTACAAATATGGTGGAAACTTTTGAAGTGGCCCATGAAACTCTAATTCTTCCTTAAGTATGTTATTTGAGAAGCCTTCTGCTGGATGAGTTCAGTCTTATGATCACCTATCACAAATCATGTTCCATTGGTTTGACCATTTTAGATCATAAAAGTAACCTACTTTTATGCATGCTTTTATAGCATTGGAACATTCTGAATGTTCTTCTTGATATTGACCCCTGCCTATTTCACTGTCTCTGTCTCTCTCTCAACTCACCACCACAACTTTCTCTCTCTTTAACAGTTTTTTTTCTTTGCATAATTACACATTATGAATAGCAGAAACCTGTAAGGAATGTCAGGAAATTTCATTTTTATTTAACAATACAACTACAGCAAATAAATTAGGAATTGGCTGCTAAAATATAAATTAACTTCTAATAATATTTTAACCAGCTACTCTACATCTTTAATAGTTATGTTTCTTAACTCTGTGCCAGTCATCTTAGGCAATAAATTATTTATGTCCATTTTCTCTCCTGAAGTTACCAATAACTATTACAGCTTTCAAACTATTGTTTTCATTTTTACATTCAAAATTGGAATCTGAATTGAAAAGTATACTGGAGTTAGTGATAGAATTTTATGCTGGTTCCAAATTTGATTGACATAAAAGAGATCAATGAACAGAATTTGAAATGTCCAGAATTATTGTTATTGTTTGTTGAATGCACAATATTTTAACTTGGACAAGACATTTCATTCTCATCTTATGTCCTTGTCCTCCTACTGTTTTCAGCTAGCAAATGTCAAGCATGTAATTGGCATGTTATGGAAGGCATGGCTGAAACAATACCCTTATTTCTTCTTTCTCAGAATTCTGTTTTGGACAGACTGGGATGCTAATTTTCCTCGAATTGAATCTGCCTCTATGAGTGGTGCTGGAAGAAAAACCATCTACAAAGACATGAAAACTGGGGCCTGGCCTAATGGACTCACTGTGGATCACTTTGAGAAAAGGATAGTTTGGACTGATGCCAGGTTAAAGAATGATCTTTTCTTCCTATATTTTCTTTTACTTTCTTCAGACAACATCAACAATGTTGAAACAGGTCCTACTATAAGATACCATGTATTGAAAGTAGTGGGTGTTTTTTTGTTTGTTTAATTTTAAATCAATATGAGCAATAAAATAGATACAAAATATTGGTCATTTTTCTCAGTTATATGGTTATATAACTGGAATATTTACTTGAGTTTTAGAGAAATACTGACACATTTTCCCTTGTTCTAGGTCAGATGCTATCTATTCGGCCCTTTATGATGGAACAAATATGATAGAAATTATCCGAGGGCATGAGTACCTTTCTCATCCTTTTGCTGTGTCGCTGTATGGGAGCGAGGTCTACTGGACAGATTGGAGAACAAACACATTGTCCAAAGCCAACAAATGGACAGGGCAGAATGTCAGTGTCATTCAGAAGACCAGTGCACAGCCATTTGACCTTCAGATATACCACCCCAGTCGTCAGCCCCAGGGTAAGTTTCCTGTGACATAGAATCATCCAAGAAATCTGTTCATGTTAATCATTTAGTGGGAACTCTAATATAACTCCTTTAAATTAAGATGAATAATAGGCAGTTAGATAATAGGTAGGTAGGTGCATGGGTAGATAGATAGGTAGATATACAGTTAGCTGTACAATCTTTGAATTTAGAATCTAGCACCTGAAGTTGCCCAGTAAATTTAGAGATAACACAAAAGACAGTTACCTTGTTTCCTAGTCAATGGTTGGCATATTCAGAAGGGAGAGTGAGGTCCATGAGGAAAGATGGACCATCAGCTTGAGCTCTTCTGAATTTTTAATTTTTTTTTTTTTTTCTGGTCCTGAATTCTGGGCCTGGTGCTGTCCTTGAGCCTCTTTGTGCTCAAGGCTAGTGCTCTATCACTTAAGTTACAGCACCATTTCAGGCTTTTCCTGAGTAGTTTATTGGACATAAGAGTCTCACAGACTTCCCTACCTGGGGAACAACTCCTGAATAGCTAGGATTACAGGCATGAGACACCAGTGCCAGGCTAGGTTGGCTTCTTCCCTTTCATTGGAAATTGTGCCCATTCTATATATTGCACAATTTGGTTCAGTAGTAATATTCCCCTGGATTATGTGACATTATTACCTTTACTCAATCCTTGCAAATGTTCTTACTTCAAATCTCACTTTTTATCTTCAGTACTAAGAGCACTATATCAGTTCATCCTGTCTAACCTCTTCCCCTTGTAAAAGCAAAAGCCTATAGAAGGCTCATTCTAATGCAAACAAGTTTCCTTTCATTATCATTTCAAACTTTATGCATATTCAGATGATACAATCTTTCTTGCCAAAGGAATTTTTTTTCCTTCTCTTGGTAAAAGGATATTCTATATCATTGGCATTTCTTTATCTGTTTCAAACCTCAAGACTTATTTTAAATTCATGTTATGTTATGTTCTTCTAGACTTGACTATAAACAATCCCCTCTGTGACTGACAGTATGCCTTGACTAGCCTTTGTCTTTACTACTTGACTTTCATTCTCTCTTAATATTATTTCTTCCAAAATTCCTCCTGTAAAATTTTCTGTGCTGACAGTCTGAATGAATCTAGTTCACTTGCCAGATGCACTCAATTTCTCAGTTTCAATTTTTATGTAATTTATCTTCTCCCATGTCAGATACTTTAAGAATTCCTTTACTATTTTCCTTGATACCCTTCACCCCATCACCTGCAAAGTTTTAGGACATTAAAGACAGAGAGCATGTATCCTTATCATTGTTAAACTTAACAAACATTCAGTATACATAATGACATGAGGCAAAATGACTTGTGTATCATTACTGTAAGGTCCACTCCTGGATGGCGAGCAGACCCCACCCCAACTGGCTCACCAGGAAGAGGTCACATTCACATCTGCTTAGGTCACATCTGGATCTGATTGGCCACACCTTTCACCCACCTGGTCCCACATCTTCTTACCTGGTCCCACCTCCCTTTACCTGATCACACCATTCCTGGCCCCCACCCTAGATAAGACCTAGCCCAGGGCCAGATGCCCTCTTCCCGCCACATGGAGTGCCATGCGGTCTACTGAATAAACCTACCCCTTACCTGAATACCACATGCGTGGTGTGGTTCTTACTCGGCCACCTCTTCTTTAAAAACCTAACAATTACTACATTTCTAGATACTCAGAAGGCTGAGACATTTGGGATTTCAGTTCAAAGCTAGCTCAGGGAGAAAAGTTCATTACTCAATTAATAATTAACGAGCAGAAAGCTGAGCTGGCCATGTGTGGCTGGAATGCTAGAATGCCAGCTATCATAAGCAAGCCAACAAAAAGTATAAGAAACTGAGTTGAAGCCCTAGAATTAAAAAAATAAAATCTAAAATGAATAAATGACTATGTTTAAAGATATTAGAAGTTATGAATTTAAGCAGCAGCATATCACTCATACTTGGAATGATACATACACACAATGTATATCCTTCTCATATATTGAGAAGGGTATAACTGCAAACAAGTATCATGGATGACTAAGATTTATAATTAATTCAGGCTTTATATGATGAAAAATAATTTACACAGCTATGTATTTTTTCCCTTCTATCAGTATTTTGTAAGCATTTTGATTTTTATGTTTAGAACAATTCAATTGAACTGGAATATGAAATAGTCTCCATTTGTATATCATCTTCCTCCTTTAAAATAGGATCATTATAAAAGCATTTGACTCATAAACCTTACTAAGACCTTTTATAAATTCACAGAATAAGAATAATAATGACACTATCAAGCTTTCCTGATATTTTTGTATATATGTTAATGTAATGATAATTCATGGCAGTTTGTCTCAGGGAAAATTGTTTTGGACCTTTTTGGGTTTAACATGTTTTATCATGATTCTATGCTCTTTCTTTCTTTTTTGGATATGGAGCATTTCACAAATTTGTGTGTCATCTTTATGCAGGTGCCATGCTAATCTTCTCTGTATGTTCCAATTTTACTATATGTGCTGCCAAAGTAAGCACCTCTGGTCTTTATATGCATTTGGAGAATTTATTTCCTCAGTGAAATGATTTCAAGTTGTGAGAGTGGCTAGAAAACATCCTTATTTTCTTTACTACAAAGATCCCTACACATATGAATACAGTTATCTATTCTGTTCATCCATTTCTGTGAAGTCACACAACTCAGTTTCAAGCAGTAATATTTACTAGAATTCAGTGCAGTTACCTACCTCAGTTTTTGTGTTTGCTGAAAAAGGTTTAGGCAAGAAGGAAAACAGTGGCAATGATATGCTGAGAACAACATTAAAACTCTTCTCAAGACCAGCCTATGACACAGAACCTCTGCCTTAGGCATGAGAAATATTTACCTAATCACATTTAACCTCTGGGGTATAGTTTACCTTGCTGAGTGGTTAAATTACAGATATACTGTTGTAGGGGACTATTGCTTGATATACTTTAGTCTGGCATAAAGCATTTTAATAGGTAGGTGGGGTTCTTGTGATATTTTATGAACTGGGTGGGTCATATAGGCTTGTGGTAAAGTTTAATTATAATGACAGTGTCCTAGTCTCATCCTCCATTTCAGGTTCATTTATATTTTTGTATCACTCATAGCCATCTGCCACCAATATAGTGCTGAGGAGCAGGGAAGCAGAAACGCAGCCACAGTTTTATTGGTTCCTTAGATGGAATTACAAGGGTGTGGTAACTAGGGCACAATGTTATCAGAAGATTGTACTAGTCTCCTGATTTTTGGTGAATATCATGAAGACCAGAATAGAAATATGTCGGGTCTTCGCCTGTCCCACGAAAGAGGACGGAGTCAGAGGAAAGGTAAGTGCGGCTGCTCGACAGTTCCCCAGCCTCCCTTAGCCCGGGAGATAAAGCAGGAAAACTTGTTTATTAAAACAGAGCAGCCCTTTTTAAAGCAAAAAAGAGCGGGTGGCATGGCAGGGGAGGAAGAGGAACCAATCACTGTCAAGGTCACACCCCATCATGCACCTAAGCTTCCACAGGCTGGTTACTCACTGAATGTAAAGCAAATTGGGCTCTGCCCACTCAACTCCCTCTCAGCCGTCTTTGCTGCCCATGTGCTCTGCAGAAATAGCAATCATTAAAATATATAATGTTTAGTGCTACAAAATTGAAATATAGCTTTCACGTCATTAAAGGAATAATGACAGCAATAGAGCTTTTTAAGTAGGAAATTAATAAAAGTTTGAACACCATTTTTTTCTTACAAGTGACACTTCATGTAAACACACAATTTCAGCTGAATTATCAGATACAACCAGAATCTTTAATAAGCTGTTTTATGGCCCTTTCATTAATATCATTATGGAACTAGAAAGTGACAACTCAAATATTAAACACATACAATAAAGGAGCAATAGTGTCAATTTAAATCTAACTTGTAAAAGTTTGTACTTTTAGGGATCCCAGAAGTGTGATCTGGGTTCAAAGCCTAACCTTAATTTATGAATTGCTTGATGATCCCTTCATCATTAGCTAGTTTTCTTTTATAAAACAGATCATTCTTTACCATTCATTTGCTTTTGGATATTAATGACGTATGTTTAAACTCTACCTCTTTTAATCATCTGGAATCTGTACAGAATAGTATGGACATCAGAAGATCCAGTGACTATTTCACCATTAAACATAAACCTATTAAACATTAGTTAATATATAAAATCATTTTAAAATAGTATTTCATATATAATTGGTACTGTTTTATATTTAAGTAAACTAAATGTATTTTCATTTTAAAATAAAGTAAATTTTACTCATTTATAAAATATCTTATTTAAAAATAGATTTTAAATCTGGGCCAGCAAGATGGCTCATTCCTGTTATCTATGATCCCAATAGCTTGGGTAATGGCACTAAGGTGATCACAAATCAATACAAGTTAAGGCAAGATTTTTCCTTGCCATCTTAACAAACAAGCCAGGTATGATGACATATAGATTTTAACCCAGCTATACAAGAGTAGTAAGTAAGTAGGTAGTCTGAATCCAGTCCTAGATAATATCTAAAGCTCAAGGGTTGAGAGTGTGGCTCAAGTGGTAGGATACCTACCTAGAAAGCCTGAGACACTGAGTTCAAACCTAGTAAAGAGAGAAAGAGAAGGGTGGGGAGGGGAGATTGGGCTTCTGTGATTATGGAGACAGAAGACTCATAATCTACTTTACACAACCAGGAAAACTAGGAGTATTGGTGGGATCTGGGCCACATGTAAAGGTTCAAGAACAATGAACTGAAAGGCGACAATCTAATAAATTCCTATTTGGGACCAGGTAGGAGGTCAGAAATATATGTCTCTCCTCAAAAGGACATGTTATCAGAGCCCCTGGCCATATATGCTGACACGAGATGCTAACATTCAAATTTTCTTTCATTAGGAGAAAAGAACATATCAGATAGATAAATTAAAAACAAAGGGAGCTAGAATTTCTCAGCATGTCATCATCTTCCCTATAACAACATGCAACTCACAGAAAAGATTAAACAAAAACCAATTAACTCTCCTGAAAGGTAGGTTTTTGAAGGTGTTCTGTTTTCACACCCAGAAGGACACTTCCTGAAGGAATCCTGATTCCTAGTTACCCTTTTCAGAAGTGAATGTTTGTCTTAACTTTTTGTTTTGAGTTCATGGACACATTGTGTGATGTCCCTGCCCTGGAAAGGGCCAGATCTCAAATGCTGTCTGAAATGCTAATGTATTCAAAAATTTTATTGGGCATTTGTCATTGCAACCAAGCTAATACATAAAATCAAAGATCACAAGAAGCTCCCTTAGCAGTAATGTCCTAAGAACAGAGAGCATGGCATTAGTTGAGACATTCTTAGAAGCAACATCAATTTAAAAATTTGGGATAGAAATTTGTTCTCAGAGACTGTGACTGCAAAAAAAACAAAACCAAAACAAAACAAAAAAACAACACTTTAGCTTTCTGGTTTCTGTAGGTGACTTCATAGTCAAAGTGTGACATGGAGAAGAACCTCATGAACTGCTTAAGGGTCAGAACTGATTCTCTAAATGCTAGAGACTACATATTTCATGCTTTGTGGGCCATGTTATCCCTGTTTCAGTTTCCTAATGCTATTATGGGACAGCAGTCATATGGACAATAGATTAAACTATAGCCCAATAAATTGTAGAGTCAGGACGAAAAAGTAGATAAGATTGTAAGATATTTCAGAAAGTGAGAAGAGGCAAGGATAGAACTTTGGAAACTACCAACACCAAAAATGAGTGTAAAGACAAATGCTTAAAAAAAAATGGTGACCAGGAGTTCATAGAATCAAAGGAGACAACACTGTCAAAAACTGAAGGTAAAGTTTTGGGATGATCTGTCCATGAGTGTTAACTATGGCTGAGATGACAAGGAATAACGGATATATGGCCACTGGATTTGGTCATGAATCCAATGAGGATAATGTCAGCGAATGTTGGCATATACATAAATGATCTTAGCCAGCTTAAATTAGATACTGGTATTACTTTTGAGTCTTTATTACTAATACAGAAAATTACTAAACAATAGAACTTAAGTAATGCAAGTGAATTGCAACAGATTATCTTCATGGTGATCAGGTTAGAAAATGGAAAAAAAGAAGAAAATTCTTCAGCTATAGTGCTTGCCTCAGGTTCCAACTTTATCATATATCTAATTCAGGATATTTGTTTTTGCACTTGAAAATTGGAATTGATATAGCATAAATGAATTAGGCTCTTTTAAGCATTTATAAAATACTTATCAAGTACTAAATACCCTGATTTTGTTAACTTATGATAGATAGGATAAACAAATGTATGTTCTGTCCCACAGATGTTTAGGTTACTTTGACCTGTGTTCTTGGACTTAATTCCCAACTTGATAAGAGTTGTTGGCTAGAGAAGTAGAAAAGCACTTCCTCTTTCTTTTCTTGCGCTTTGCTGTCCAAAACTTTGCCTTTCTTCTAGGAGTCCTCAGTCAATCTAAAGTTTTATTTAACATATGTCAAGTTGTAATTTTAACCAGTGGAATTAAATTACTTCTGTACCCAGGATTCCACCACCCTAAGTTTCCCAGCTTTTTTTCTTTTTTTAATTCTTTAGTTGCTGTGATTGTAATCTTTTCCAAAAATATCTCAAAATTGTGACAATGGCTTTAAATGTTGAAAACCTTTTTTCTACTAAATTTCCTTAGTAGAAAACAGATAAACATACCAGATGTTTATCTCATCTTGAAAATACTTTTATTCCATCTGAAAAGAACTTATTTCAAAAGAGACTTAGATATTTGCTGATAAAAATACTACTATTTTGTAAGGAACATGTTATTTTTTCTGTCAAATACAGGCTGAAAACTCAACTACTCTTTTTGTTTTGATCTTGAAAGCCGACATGACTGACAAATGTGCAAAATGTTTTAGATAACCTTAATATGAAAATATCTTCTGAAATAATTCACAATCCACAAAGAGAACGAGCAGGACTTTGAGGAGATCCTTAAACAATCATCTTAAGTATGCTTATGAAATTTATATTCTGAGGCAGTACTCATCTTTCTATTTTTAAGGCATAAATGAGATCCATAAATTACTGCATGCATGGATGAATGAATGAATGCACCTGAGTTTGTGTATCATAATGGTTACTGGAAGATTTAAGTCTTTATTATCTTCTTACTGATTGTGCTACTTTAAATCTTTCAGCTTTACCAAAGTTATGCTACTTTTGTTTAAAACTGGTGATTTTTTTTAATAAGTTAAAATTACTATTCTGAAGAATAAATGAAATAATGGCTATAAAACATTTAGTGCATTTTCTACATATAGTGATAAAAACAAATTACCTTATTTTGGAAACTTTGTACTCTATTATGTACTCTACTACCACACTTACACATTACACCATTGAGATTACAGGTTGTTTCTCAAAGAGGAGATGTTACATTGAAATGTTTTACGTGACTCCTAAACAATCAGGAAAATACTTCTATTAAAAAATCAATCAATTTTTGAAAACA